CCCCAAAACCCCAAAACCCCAAAACCCCAAAACCCCATTCCAAGAGAAATAATTAAAATTCAAAGATGAATTATTTACCCTCTGACAAGCAGTTCTTACTGCTATGGTTTAAGAATTTCATTGAAATAGAAGCCAAAGTGAATGAAGAGGATGCTGGGCATGAACAAGAGGTAAATCTCAGGAAATTACCTATGGAGGTCAGCCAGAGTGTCCATTTTACTCAGATGGATGACATACATGACATGGGCGTTGTCACAGATCCTAGATTTGAAGGAACAACCTGAGATCTTAGTGATTCTTTAGGGTTAAGGACCCAGATAGTCAATAACAACCTTGAAGATTTTGAGTCCTTCAGGAGATCAAACAGGACTTTCAAACATGACAGGTATGCATTTTCATTCAAATTTATTTAGAGCAGAAAGTAATGCTGCTGGTAATTCTAAGAGGTCTGTCTCTCCAATGATTAAGTCTGTATTTTCTTCTGAGAGAGAAATAAACAATCTGAAATTTGAGGATATCCAAGATTTTAACTTCCTGCAAAATTTACTACAATTAATTGATGAGAATGAGTTTATCATTGATGACAACATGAGTAATGAGAACTTGATCAACCATATCACATATATGCTGAAACAATACCTCAGGAAGAGGAACTTTGACCCAACTCTTCTTGTGGATGGTCTAAGAGATCAGCTCCTACAAGAAGAAAGATTTAAAGGCGATATCAAATCTGAAGTTATTAACAACACAAATATTACTCTCCACAATAGATTTGATAACAACGGTTCAAGATCTCCTGACAGACACACTGGCTCTAGCTTCCGAAAAATTCAAGCTAAGTACATGTTTGAAGAACCAAAATGGTTCCTCATCAAGATGATTTTCTTGGTGGCTTTTCTGAACAAAGATAAGAAGAATCTTCGTGAAAATGGGGAGTTTTCACCATACCAGGCAAGCAAGATCTTCAACGAGGGGTTTGACTTCTCCAGCCAGGAAACCATCAAACCCAACTTCGTGATCTCTACCATTTTCATTTTGAACGAAGTTCTGTCCAAGATCTTGTGCTATGATGATCACTGAGCTTATGATACTAGAATTGGAGGGAAGCGGGGATCGTTTTATAAATCAAATTCCAAGGAAATTCAGGATAAAATAACTAAACAAGAGACTTGTCAGCCCTTAGCACTCATTGATTTCCATTGCACCAAAAAGGATAACAATCTCTGTCAAAGAGTTAGCCACATAGAGACTAGCCAAGCTGAAGATATTGGAATACAAGAAAGAATTAGTATTCTTGAAAAATTTAAAAGTGAGTCTCCCCCAAGTCACCTCAATATCAAGAAGACTTTGTACCCAACTCCTGATTTGTTAGATAGCCAAGAAAGTGAAGAAGAGGAAGAAGAGTACAGACCTTTCAACATCATGAGGAATTCCAGAGCTGAAAGAATGGAGCGTTTCGGGAACAAAGCAATGACACCAAGGGCACCTGACAGTCATCACCCTGAAAATAAATTAAGCCAAGAGAGGAGAGACAAATCTTCCGCTGCTAAGCTGAGGAGTTTCCAGAGGAAAAACTCCCTCAGAAGGGCTGCAACTTGTAACCAAAATAGCACTGACGATAGTACTAAAGGGCTCAATATTTCATTTAAGAATGAGTTGTAAGAAAAATTCATAAAGTTCCTCTTCTCATTAATTCATCAATAAACTAACTCACATTTATAGATACAAGGCAAAACAGGAGAATAAAGCCTTAAGTGAAGCACTTGAGAAATTAGAGAGCAGGCTAGCAGATGAGACTGAAAAGTCCGAAGATAAGGTCAAGAACCTTCATAAAAGAATAAAGATATTAGAGAAAGACCTCAAAACTGTAACTGAAAATCTTGAAATAGCTTCTGATCTCAACCAAGACTTGGGTAAGACCCTTAAACTCCTTTTGGCAATGGCTAGATTGCTCATATAATTTTGTATAGCTTCTAATTTGAAGAATGTGCTCAAGCAATTAGAAAAGGCCCAACACAGGATAAGTAAAGATCTTGAGATCATAAACAGAAATGAAGAAAAATTAAAAGAACTCAACTCTAGGCATCTTGAAGATCTATCTCAGTTATGTAAATACAGCGATGAAATTAAGATACATAAGAAAGCACTGCTGCTTAAATAACATTTATTCGAACTATTCTTGTTCTAGAACGGATGCCAATCCGTTCGTACCAGAGAGTTCTTGAAGCGTTCCCCCGCCTGAGAGCCTTCCAGATGTGAATCTTAAGCCAGGCCCAATGATTCCAACTCTCAATTTAGAAAATCTGAATAGAAACTCAGTGGGTCCTAATGGGAGGGTCCAAGAAGATGAGAGAATATCTCCAACACTGATAAATATAAATAACTCAGAGCCTCCTAACTCACAGATAGTGAGAGGTATCTGTACTGAGACAAAAGCCACACAAACTGCTTCAAAAACAACAAGCGATTGTAAGTCTAATGCTCTCGAACTCTAGGCCCATCCTGTGAAGCTAATAAGAAAATATTATCAGACATTAATTCTGATTGTCTTAAGCAAAGATATAAACGCTTGAAGGAGAGATATGAGCACTTGAAAGAGAAGTTTGAGAGGCAAGTTCTCATCTCTAAAGGATGTACGTGAACCAAACAAGTTATTAAATCTCAGATAATTGCTTGATCCAAGTCCAAGCAAGAAATTTAATATATTAAATACAACAAATATTCATGCCAAAATCCCATTGTTAATGACATAAAATGGTTTAATAGCCAAAATTTGTGGTTCCTGGTTTATTAATACTAAAACTGACATATTTTCTCGAAATTTGTGTCAAAAGTGTTTCTAGACATTCAGTTTGGTCCTACTTAAAAAGATCTGCTCTGATGTAGCGCATTTAGTCTATTCATGCTTGAAATTTGATACTTTCAGACATCTGTAATTTAAAGCATAATTATGAAATTCTCAATAGCAATTAAGAGTTAAGGGGTTTTGGGGTTTTGGGGTTTTGGGGTTTTGGGGTTTTGGGG